ATCTGATCCTTTGCCTGAAGATGGGGTGAACTCCTTGGTTTAATTTAAGGTCCAGAGATCTGTGTGATCAGGCCTGCTCCAGAAAAAAAAAATATGTCTTTGCTCAGCTCTTTTCCTTGCCCCATCCTGCATCCTTCACTCTTGTTTTTTACTGAGACTTTCTCAATAAACACAAGTGCTGGAACATCCATACCAAGTTCAGAATCCCATGTCTGCACCCGGGGAGCTTGATCTAAAGTCTCAAACAATTTCCTTTTTCTGCTTTTAAGACTGATGATTGATTGGTTGATTGATTAAGAGGCAGCCAGAGACATAAAGAGCCTCCATCCACTGATTCACTCTTCAAATGCTGTGACCACCAGTTCTGGACTAGGCTGAATCCAGGAGAAAGATACTCTACATGGGTGCCAAGTACTTCAGGCATTTTCCACCGCCTTCCCAGGCATATCTATAGGAAGCTGGATTGGAGTCAAACCAGCAATCCGCTATGGGGATGCCAGTTTCACACACGGTGGCTTAACCTGCAGCTCTATAATGCTGGCTCCTCAAACAATTTTCTTAATTCTTCTCAAACTTAGCTATGTTACTTCTACTTGCAGAATCCGGGCAGACCCAGCTGGATGTGTGGATGTGTAGAGATGCCTGCCATTGTGTTCCTGAGTCACGTTATCTGATTATACCTTCTTTCTCTAGCAAGTCTGAGTCCCCAAAGGCATCTTCTGCTTGGTTTTGTCATGGCCTGAAAGGGCTCAGTCAGCAGGAAAAGACAGACTCCCCAATTCATCTTGAAATACGGCTGCATCCGTCTTAGAAGTTCCTCTGGAGCATTGTAAGAGGGAAATGCCTGGGGTCTGAGCTTGGTGCTCAGGGCGCCGAGGGACAATTCACATATTATTTACCGTGACATTTGCCTCTGTTTCCTGCATCCTTCTGAGACAGTGTGTTCTGAAGATCAAAATCACCAGCCTGAAAGGCAGCAGCCAGGACACGCTTCTTAAAGGCACAATGATTTCTTTCTGTTCCTCGCCTCTGCACCTTTGATAATTAACTAGGTGAAAGGAAGAGATAATGGGACCTCTACTGAAATTGGAGTCACTGCCTGGGTAAAGCATCATGAACTCTAAGCAATGTCAGCACAGAAGTACTTTCTGCAGCTTGTCCATTTTTGGATGGCTTCCACTACAGCAGTCTTAAGAGTACAAATAATTAGTTCTCATTCAGAAAATGAGAGAGTTAAAATTAAATTTTTAATGTTGGGCCTGGTACTGTGGTGTAGCAGGTAAAACTGCCACCTGCAGTGCCAGCATTCTGTATGGGCACTGGGTCGAGTCCTGGCTGCTCCACTTCTGATCCAGCTCTCTGCTATGGCCTGGGAAAGCAGTGGAAGATGGCCCAAGTTCTTGGGTCCCTGCACCCATGTGGGAGACCCGGAAGAAGCTCCTGACTCCTGGCTTTGGATTGGCCCAGCTCTAGCCGTTGCAGCCATCTGGGGAATGAACCAGCGATGGAAAGACCTCTCTCTCTGCCTCTGACTCTCTGTAACTCTCCCTTTCAAATAATTAAATCTTAAAAAAAAATTTAATGCCATATTATGATGGTATGATATGTAGACACATATGCATGATACACATGGTAGACTATTAACTAGTTGGAATTTCATTAATTTAAAAATTCAGAGCCATCTGAGAAAACTGCATATATGATAGTGGAGACAAAGTTCTGATAAAAGAAAACAGAAGATTGAATTTGAGAAATTTTTGAATAAAACAGTTTGAAACAGTATTTGTGGGAATTGGAAATGCATGACAGGCATTATGTCTAATCTTTTTCTAAATAACATATAATTCTAATTATATATGTCTATTCTTTTTATAAATAAACACATAATTATAATCTCATAAAATAAGTGCCAGTCTTATTCCTATTACCCTAATGAAGGACTGAGTCTTAGGAGGATTAAAGTAGTATTTCCAGGACCAGCATTATGGCATAGAGGGTAAAGCTGCCACCTGCAGTGCCAGCATCCCATACGGGCACCGGTTCCAGTCCTGGTTGCTTCACTGCCAATTCAGCTTCATGCTAAAAGCCTGGGAGATCAGCAGAAGATGGCACAAGTACTTGGGCCCCTGTTACGTGGGAGACCTAGAAGTTCCTCACTCTTGGCTTTGACCTGGCACAGCCCTGGCGACCATCTGGGAAGTGAACAAACAGATGGAAGATCTGTGTGTGTGTGTGTCTGTGTCTGTCTCTTACCTTCAAATAAATAAATAAATATTTTAAAATAGTAGTATTTCTGAGGAGTGGCAAGTTATTCCTAATCACCAACATATCCTTACTCTTACTAAGTGATGTTAGAGGTTAGCAACAGGGGCTGGTGTTGTGGCATGCAGTTTAAGCTGCCCCTGCCATGCTGGCAACTTATATCTGAGTGCAGGTTCAAGTTCGAGCTGTTCCTCTTCCAATCCAGCTTCTCACTAATGTGCCTAGGAAGGCAGTGGAAGAAGGCCAAAGTACTTGGGCCCTTGCCACCCATGTAGGAGACTATGAGGGAATTCCTGGCTCCTGACTTCAGTTTGGCTCAGACCTGGTTGCCATTTGTGGAGTGAACAAGAAACAGACAATCTCTAGCTCTGCCTCCCCCTCTCTCTTTCTATGGCTCCTGCAAATAAATAAATGAATCTTTAAAAATCAAAAGAAATCAGCAAATAAAGGAGCAGGACACATAGGGTTGAGTGAATGTGAGGAAGACTTCGATGTGGGGTACGTACTGAGCCTTATGTCTAAATGAGGGACTGAACACTTTTATTGCAGCTAAAAGCAGCATAGTAGAGTGAAAAGATGTGGGTAGTTTCTGCCCCCACTTTGATGTGTCATCTTGTACAGAAGTAAAGGATCCTGAGGCTTGATTTACTCATTCCTTAATGTAGGACAAATGACAGATTTTTAGAGTTTTTATAAGGATTGAAGATGATATAAGCACACAGTCTGGTATATAGTAAATATTCAGTAATAAGAGATAATGCATTTGCTCACTAGCTGAATCTACCTCATGAACAATACAACCCTAGACCCAACAGATAAATGGTAGGTGCTGTGGGAGAACATTTATTCAGGCAGTCACATTGCAGTGTCACTGAAGAGTTGCATCTTATTTATTTAAGGGGAAAGAAAACTTCTTAAAGAAAACTACAGGTTACATTCCAGATCTTAGAGCATTATCTAAAGAAATTGTCATCCCCTATGTTATCTTACCTGTTACTCCAGCCATTACAGACAATGCTGCCCCGCTGACTGTTCCCTGGCAGTCTGCCATGTCTAGGTTTATATGGGTACTTCATGTTCATACATCGGATCTCAGATTTTTAGTTCCATGAGAGTTATCATCCCTTGATCTAATCTACTAGATGCCTTCTCCGCCCTATGACATAGCTGCTTACTCCTCCCATATCAGAGCACTCATATGGGGTACTTCCCATAGTTCATGGACAAAATACAATTGATAGCATGAATTCAGGGGTGGTGGTTTTGGCTAGTCGCTAATACACCACTTAAGATGCTTGTGTCCCACATTGGATAGCCTGGGCTCCATTACTGGCTTTGCTCCCAGTTCTAACGTCCTACCAGTGCACATCCCAGGAGAAAGTGGGTGACAGCTAAGGTAGTTTCATCCCTGCCACCCACGTGGAAAACTTGAATTGTGTTCTTGGATCCTGGTACTGACTTAGGTCCAGGCCCAGACGTCACAGACATTAGGGAATAGAGATTCTCTTTCTTTCTCCCTTTCTGCCTCTAGAATAAATACTGTTTTTAAGCAAGAGTTTAATTTGGCATTAAACAATTTTTAAATTTGTAATTTATTCATAATGTGCATTTTCCGTATACTTTGAAAAAATTTGCACCAAAATAAATTATATTCTTAGATTTACTTTTCCATGAATTTGTTCTTACATATCTGGGTTATAAAGGCTAATTTTCCTATATAACTGGAATACAACTAAGAATTCACCTGGTCAGTCTCTGTAGAGTAGTATCTTATAAAAGGTAACTATGGAGAGTAATTCAATTTTACTCATTTGTGAAAATATCAGGGAGACCTTTATGAAGTGGATATATTCTTAAAATAAACTTTTAAAATATTTCCTTTAGATCTCTCACTATGTTTTTCTTGCCTGGAAGATGCTTAAAACAACAGGAAAAACAAAAGCAAAACCATAGTAGTCTTTTTGCTGCTCTTTGTCTTCTCCAACCCAACACGCACACTGTGTCCACACAGCTTTGCTTTCTTCTTCTCTCAACTGTAACACAAAGATTTCTTAAGACGACCAGCTTAGCTTCTCTACATTCTTTGGGTTTCTTTTGACTTTTTATTTTACTAGAAGATGTAGAGATGACTAGCAAGCCAGAATCTTCAGACAGGGAATTGAGGGGGAGAGGAAGAATTGAAAAATGAGGACTATTCATACATTTGCACTCTGGTTCCTTCTGTTTCCTTAAATATGCCCACAGAATGTTGAAAGCAAGGATATTCATGATAAATACTGTATTCTCAGCATTTAATATGGTGCCTAGCAAAGTCTGGATATCTAAAAACATGCATGAATATATGTATAAAGAGAAAATAGATTTCCTGTATGTATCATTAATTAAACTAATCTTAACATCTGTGAATAGTGACTGAGAACACTCTTGAGGTGACCACTGCTCATGTTTAACCTCAAGTTAAATCATAGTGAGACAAGTTGACGCACCCAGAGCACTTCATGGACCAAGATCACGCTTAACAGGTTTGTTGAGTGTTGAGAAAATCATATTAAACTTGCCATGGCTTCACTGTATCTGGGGCTTTAGGGAGAGGAGAGGAAAGGGATGACTTCAAGACTAAGATTGTAACATTTGCTATAAAAGAAGTCCGTTTGTAATCATATTTCTGTTGTAAGTACTTTGGGATCCTCATTACATTTTAGTGCATTCCAGAAGATAATCAATATCTCTACGCTTACCTACTGGTTAGCATTCACTCTGACTTGGCCTTGGTCAGAAGGGAAATAGATGCTTGCAAGGCTGAAAAAAAAATCATGGTAACACAGATAAAATATGATTCCTAAATGCAGATAGAATAAGAACAGCCTCAAAATTCTTTGCTATTTCAATTTTGTATGTTATTTTTACTTAAAATTCTGAAAATAACAACATAGTAACCACTTTATGACCAGGCAATATGCCAAATGCTTTATAGGTTCACACAGGCTCAACAAGGTGACAATATCAAAGGAAAATTGATATTTCTCTCACTTCTGGTAAGTTATACCAACCAGAGAAGGAGGGTCGCAGAAAACATCTAAGTAATGGTAGAATCTACCCCTCCCTATGGGGCAGCTGATAAAACTGGAAAAGGCTTCAGGTATAATCTGGTGAGAAACTGTTAGTTAAGGATGCTGGAATCAGGCTAACTAGAAGCAGGCATGTTTTGTGATTGTTTTGGGGAGTGTACTTAGCTTGTTCCAGTTGTTCCTGAGTTGAAAGCAAGGACATAGAATAGGGAAGCTGCCTGTCATTGCTCAAGTCTTGACCTTTATGGAATGACTGCTACGGAGGTATAGTTAGGCTTCCAAGGCTGGTTGCTACAGAAGTTGTAGGTCAGCATTCTATTGTTACACTGTTCATTTATATATTTATTCTGGGGCTTCAAGCCAGCTGCAGAGTCAGAACAGAAAATTGGCCTTCAGATTCTCAGTTGAACTTCACAATAAAGAAGATTACATCTGTTTCACCAGTGGCCGGAATTGCACACAGTGGTCTTGAATTTTTCCAACCACTGACGCATCAGTGCATTAGTCATGTGCTTTGGAAATAGAGTTGTGAATTCTGGAAATTTCAGAACTATTGAATTAATTTCATCAATACCTCACCACAAGTCCTATTTCCAACACAGTTTTTCATCTGCAAACTGAGGGATCTTTGTATTTTCTTTCCAAAGATCTCATTCTCTGATTCTAATTCTGGTTAAGTATGATATCACCAAGCAGGAACATATAATATTCAAAGTGGCAAAAAACACTATGACTATCCTCATGAGGTTATTTTTTTTTATTTTATTTTTTGACAGGCAGAGTGGACAGTGAGAGAGAGAGAGAGAAAGGTTTTCCTTTTCCATTGGTTTACCCCCCCCCCAATGGCCGCTGTGGCCAGTGCACTGCGCTGATCCGAAGCCAGGAGCCAGGTGCTTCCCCTGGTCTTCCATGTGGGTGCAGGCGCCCAAGCACTTGGGCCATCCTCCACTGCACTCCCTGGCCTAGCAGAGAGCTGGCCTTGAAGAGGAGCAACCGGGACAGAATCCGGCACCCCGACTGGGACTAGAACCCCAGGGTGCCGGCGCCACAGGCAGAGGATTAGCCTATTGAGCCGTGGCGCCGACCTATGAGGTTATTCTTATATGCACCTAAATGAGGATGATAAAAATTTACTTTCTCAACCATATAGTTGAGAATTATGATGAATAAATAATTTTATTCTAGGACTTAAGAATGCACTACATACATAAGAAGGTTTTACTTCATAAAGAACTTTCTCAGTCAACATCCTCAAGGAAGTGTGTGGTCATTCACCACCACCACCACATTACCGAGTGGCATTCTGGATGTTCTATAAACCACAAAATGTTAATTAATATATTTCTTAAAAATTTTTACCCTTTTTTTCTTTAACAATTTTATCTGTATCTAAAGGTCAGGGAAAGATCAAATTAGTTAAATATCAGCACAATTTATATGTGAGTATAAGTAGTTATTGCCTATACTGGATAGGAAAAGCCTGACTGGCCTAATGCATTAAATTTATGAGCTTTGGGTATTATGTAGTGTGATTAACAGGGGTTCAAGTAGTGAGAAACAACTAAATTCAACATAAAACGGTGGATTAATGTGTATTCCATGGAGACAGGAACCCTATCTTCCTCAAGTCTGAGTAAAACACTTCATTCAATCCCTGTCATTTTATGTGCTTTATAAACATTTATGAAATTAACTATCTCATCAATCCCAGGGAGACTCCAACCTAATTACACTCTTTTTATACCAGGCCAAATCATATGAAATTAGCCTATTGTTAAATTGAACATATACATCTTATTTATTTGTATAACTATCATTATGTGTCTTTTGCAATTCTGAAGGTTAAGACTTGATAGTTCCACATAAGCACAACACCAGTAGGTTTAGAATTTGCAGAATTCCTATAGAATACTGTGATTTCTTACCTTTTAACAAAGAGGAATACGTATCTCATTATATGTGTTTTGCTTTAACATACATGTTTGAGTAAAATGCAAGACCTAACTACAATGTGTGTTTTAAATGTCTTGCATTTTCTATATGGTTACCCTAAGCAGGAGAAAACATTTCAGGCACTACATTTTTCATTCTAATATTGCATAATAAGTAGGTATTAGTAACCACTGAGCATCATCTTCTTAGCTCAATGACAAGTAAACTCATGTCCAATGTGAAAACACTGGAATAGACAGACCGGAGGTTGGTGGACTATGATGCATGGGAATAGGACAGTGATTGATGCAATTTTAAAGATGCTCTGAAATCAAAGCTTACTCTTTCAATATCCCTCAAACAGGAAGCTTGTTGGAATGCCCTAATGGCCTAAGTCATCATCCATCAGGCAGCACTGCTGTCACTTCTAACACAGGTACTATTTATCTTGAGAAGAAACATGTCCAGGCTCTATGAACACTCTATCTTGGGACCATGTGGGGGTAGAAGATCGGGACTGTGGTAGAGCAGAAAGCTGTGGCCACCTTAGTATATCTCTCAGGCCAGGTGATGGACCTTGATGGCTAGACTTTGATGTAGCTGGAACTTGCTTCCAGTTTGTAGCTTGCTATGTAGTCAGCTTAAAGCAGGGTCCTGGGATAGACAAACATGACTCTTCTGTAACCTGCACTTTGGTCCACTTCAGTGTTTCCACCTGAAAGTCTCATGTTCTACAACTACTCAATGCCCTTTCTAGTGTCTACAAGGGATGATAGTTCAGTGATGAATACCTACTCTTTCATCCTACCCTCTCCTTTATTGCAATGGGCAAGACAACCCATGGTCTGACAAATCTGTCCTTATGACTCAAAAGATATCATAGCATATCTTCAGGGTCTAATGTCTTAGGCATTAGAATGTACTTGTATCTTTAGGAAGACTTTTAAGACAAACATGTATGGAAAATGCATACTATAAAAACCTGAATGGATTTCAAAAATTATTTTGTATAACAATAAACACTCTTTAATTCCACTTTCTGCAAATATCTTCAAGTACCCTTTGTAAGGCCACCACAAAACAAACCAAACACCAGAGTTAAGAGAAAGGTTTATTGTCAGGTGGGGAAGCCCAATGGGCTAGTGGGAGAGGGCCAGAGACTAAGAGAAAAATCAGGACACATGTGTGGGAAGTAGGTCTTATTACAGCTTTGAGGGGGGGGGGTAGGAAAATAGGAGCAGCTAATCCCATTAGGGTGAGGATGGAGCTGAAACCTGTGGTTGGGCCATCTGATCATCTGGCTTGTAGCAATGGTGACAGGGGCCAGAACCCAAGATGGCATCCGGGGCATAGATAGTGCCACAGATAAGATGGCACCCTTTTACTACAACCCTTATGCTATAAAGGAGTATTGTCTCTCTGCATTAGCCTTATCACTCTGTCTGGCACATAGGTTGCATTTACAAACAGTTTCTAAGAGACCCCATTGCGATTTTGGGTATGAGGGGAAAATGGCATATATGGAGGCTAAGCTGTACTTCAGTTGCCCCTTAAGTGCCAACTGAGAGTAATGTTTACCCAACAGCTGTTTGAACAACTCCATTTTATTCTGGGTTCTGCTTCCTTGAGGACAAAGAGAATTTGCCACTGGGCTTCCATCATGAGGGTTGTACCCTTGGTGGATAGCACACTAAATATTGCAATGGAATGAAAACAGAACTGGCAGCTATGTTGGAGCTCACCCGAGTAGGTAACTGTGGGTGACAACCACAGTGCAGCTACCTCACACTTTATAGCCTGCCTCAACATTGGCAATTCAAGCAAAGCAAGGAGAAGACAACTAACAGAAGCAAGAATTTGGAACTTGTCCTGGCCCATCAGCCCCATGGGGAAGGGCTTCATCACCAAATGGCTGGAATCTTTCACTTAGAGTATCTCAAACCCATAGTCACTTTGAAATTCTCTATGACTCCAGTCACTCCCTGTTCACTTTTATCATTGTTTTTTCTCATAAAGTAGAATGTATCGGTATAGTTTTGCAGCAAGAAAAAAATGGTTTCATTTCTAGAAACCTGTAGAAAATAAGACCATTGCTTATTACACAATTTGTCCTTACCCTCTGCCTTTCAGAACACAGAAGACTGCTCAGAAATAATAAAACCAGAATTTGAGTAGTTTTAAAGTAACTCTTGGAGAGGACAAGGGTAAGTAAATATTTACTAGAAAAATTTAGTATGCCATGGTTTTAACTGATTTCTAGACAAGTTTGCTGGTTTTAAAACTTCACATATAAGAAATGGGTATATGGTTCTAATATTCATGTAACACTTTAAAATATGTAACACATTTATATATAATTTTCAAAACTCATTTTCCCTTCACAACAATCGAATGATAGTTTGTTTTCTTATTCCCCATTTTGTACATAGGGAAATGTGCAGTCAGAAACCCAAGGTCATAGACATCAAGTAGGGAACAACTTCAGGATTCAAATGCCATGCTCTTTTCTGATGCACCTTCTTTATATCCTGTGTTACAGTTTGGTCTCTGAGCTCTAAAAGAAGCCTGTTTAAGTGTGGCTAAATAAAAAAGGATGAAAATTGCCTGAGCGATGTGGTTTGAGCCATCTGAAGACACTGTGCTCCAATCACTGTCTTTCATGTTTTGCCTGAACCTTGCCTGCCACCTGAATAAAAAATGATTGGAGCAGATTGCCACGGAGGAGAACGCTGCTTTCCATCCAGGCAGCAGGGCATGATAAAAGAGATCTTAAGGATTCTGGCAAATTAGAGCTGCAAGTCTGCATTTTTTTAATTTTGTGAGCTGATACAAATCACAGGGACCTGTCAGGGAGCATTCAGAGGTACCGGGCAATTCAACTTCAGAGGTAAGTGAAGAGTAAAAGCAAATCATAATTAAAGAGCAAGTTGTCTTCTGCAATTTCTAGTCCACTGGGACACACAAGGAAAAAAAAAACTGAACTTGGAGTAAAAGAAAAAAAAGAGAACCCCAAACAATTTTTCGGAGGATTTGTAATGGAAAAATTTCTCACAGCAGTGTGTGGGTTACCTACCTGGTAATGATTTGGGTCTAGATCTCTTTCTATGCCTAAAGATGTCTGGCAAGTTACAAGATCACTCCGTGGCCTCAATTTTCTCCCCTGAAAGAACAAAGCATTAGGAACAGGCAGTTAGCTTAGCAGTTCAGATGCCTGTGTTCCACATCCGAGTGCTTGGGTGTTTGATACCCAACTCAGTCCCTGACAATTGCTTTCTACTGATGCAGACACTGGGAAGCAGCAGTGATGCCTTATGTAATGGGGTCCCTGCCAACCACATGGTAGACCTGGACTGAGTTTTTTCTCCTGCCGTTGGCCTCAGTGCAGCCTCAGTCATTGTGGGTATCTGGGGACAAAGCCAGAGTATGAGGGAGCTATATCGTGTTCTCTCTTGCTCTTGCTCTCTCTCTCAAATTGACAGATTGATTGATAAAACAAGAAAGGAGTGCTTAACTGATCTTGCGATACTAACACTAGCATTCCAGATTTCTATGAAATTTCTCATTTCTGAATGGCTACATCTGTTTGGATGACTTTCAACTTGAAACTGCCATTTTTATTCTATCTTCCTCAGAAGGGCACTTCCTGGAAATGACTGGCAGCTGCCTGAGTCATAGGTCAGATCAGTTCAGTGAAGGTATTCCCTATGAAGAAAGGAAATGACTTCTGCGGTTAACAGAGCAATTGTGTCTTATCTTGCCTCTCCATTTTCTCTGTGTTGGTTCAGGGTTGCTCTCTCTACAGTATTCTTAGGTGATGCCTTTTGGTGTCCCTTGCTTTTGTATGGGATGAAAGCAGACATTTCATGGAAACACACACACTGCAGTAGGTTGTGAACCAAGTGACACCTTACCCCCATTGGCCCCAGATGCAAACCATTCTCTTATAGGGGACACGTCCTCTTCAGCAACTACAGGCAGAGTTCCTGCACTGTGAAGTCCTCCCTGGCCTCCTCAGATCATGACAGTTCCTTTAAAGATCTTCATACACATTAATGTCACTTACACTGAACATGACCTTTTATCTACACATTTGTATCTACACAATGCCCTACAGTCATCACAGTAGGCTACAAAATCTTCTGGTCAGGGACAGAATTCCCTCCAAATATCATTTCAAACACAAAAAATAAGAATACAAAACCCAAGAATAAGACCTTCCATCCTAATCTAAAATGAATTTTGCCATGTCTGCTGCAGAAAGGAAATAAATTATTATGGAAATAACTCAAATGCATAACCCTGACCATTCCCCATGTTGTCTTCAGTAGTAGTGTATCTTTCTCTTGCATGTTTTCATATTTTACTATGCAGATGCATATATATTCATAAATAATATTATACTGTACTTTTAAAACAATGCAGTTACCATATTTTATTGATTATATCAAATTTACATTGTCAAAACTTATCTGTATCACTGTGTATATCTAGCTTATTCATTTCATCTGCTGTACATTTCTTTATGGAAGTGCTATATAATTTATTCAACTATTTTTTGATTTAAATTATCAAATTTATTTAGATGATCAAATTTAGCTGCATTTAGATTTAGTTTCTTTCTAGTCCTTTAATGTTAAGATCTCCGGTTCCTATGCAGTTTCTTGATGGTATATACTTAATTTGAACACTACATTTTAGGCTTTTAATTCTAATTATGCATATCTCTACTCTGTTCAGTAGTGCACATTCCATTCATACCTTGAAATATCAGTTGCATGAGAGGAGCTGTACCATAGAAATAGGTAAATGCTGTAACTCTGTTCTTTTTCTCTTACAGAGCCATTAAAAAAAAAAAAAGATTTGTTTGAAAGTCAGAGTTATGGCAAGAGAGGGAAAGCTGAGAGTGACAGATTTTCCATCTGCTGGTTCACTCCTAGATCATCACAACAGCCCAAAACAGGAGCTTCTTCCAGGTCTCCCACGTGGGTGCAGGGGCCCAAGCACTTGGGCCATCTTCTGCTCTTTTGCCAAGCCCATTAGCAGGGAGCTGGATCAGAAGTGGAGCAGCAAGGACTTGAACCAGCACCTATTGCTGGTGATGGCTTTACCTGCTGCAACACAATGCTGGCCACTAGAAAGCCAGTTTTTAAACATCTACAGTTGGGAGCTGGTGCTGTGGCCTTAGTAGGCTAGACCTCCATCTGCAATGCCAACATCCCTTATTGGTGCTGTTTAATGCTCTGGTTGCTCCTCTTCTGCTTTAGCTCTCTGCTTATGGCCTGGGAAAGCAGTGGAAGAAGCTCCTGGCTCCTGGCTTTGGATGAACCAGTGGATGGAAGACCTTTGTTTCTGTCTTTCTCTCTCTGACTTTGCCTCTCAAATAAATAAAATCTTAAAAAAAATTGATCTACCAGCATATCATTAGACCTATCAGAATAGGAAATTCAATTTTCATGTATTAACACTGATTAGCTTTCTCTCTGTCACACACACACACACACACACACACACAGAGTAAAATTTCCTTTCTAATTTCTATTTTACTTGGTCTTTTCTGATTATTCGTAAGGTTGAGTATCTTATCAGTTATTTGGCTTTTATATTTCAATTTTTTCTTTGAATTTCTGTCTATTCCTCAATTGTACTGGCATTTTGCCACCCATTTGTAAGTATGCTTTATATATTCTTTGCAATAATCCTTTTACCATTATATACAGCATGAGCATAGTCTCTTACTATTTGTTATACAAGTATGGATTGTTTCCTACTAAAATGTTTAAGATGTTTTATTCAATGTAAATTCACTCTTATCTAAACATGATGTAATTTAATTTTGATGTGCAGTGTAGTCAAATTTTTATGATTTTTATTACTTTTTACTGGAAGCTTTTTTTGGTCTCAGACTTTAATTATTCTTATTTTATAATGAGCCTTGAGTCAGAAAACATAATTTCAGCCAATTTATTTTTTTTCTGAACCATCATGACTATTAATAGTCCCTCTTTGGCATAAATTTAAGAACTGCTTCTGAACTTACATGAAAAAATTAGGGTTTCTATTCATGGGTATAGAGAAACATTTTTACTATATTGCCTTAAATAATGGAAAGATATGTCAATTTGCTTGAATTCTTTGTTTTCCCTATAAATGCTTTTTATCTCTACAAGTGCAGGCATCTTAGACCTTTGCTGAGTTGCTACTTCATTACAGTTTTCTAATATAAATAATTATTGCATTATTGCAATAAATTCAAATTATGATGAATTCTATATTTTTATCCATTTCTTATTTGAAAGGCAGAGAGAGAAAGAGAAAGGGAGAAAGGGAGAAAGGGAGAAAGGGAGACAGAGAGAGAGAGAGAGAGAGAGAGAGAGAGATATCAATCTTCCATCATTGGTTAACCCCCTAAATATCTGCAGTGGCCAGAACTGGGCCAGTCCAATGCCCGGAGCCCAGAACACAGTCCAGGTGTTCTGTATGAGTGGCAGGAAGGGATACAAATACTTGAACCACCACCTGGCTGCCTCTAGGGACACATTAGCAAGAAGGACCTGGAATCGGAAACAGAGCAAGAACTCAAATCTAGACATTCCGATAGTGGATGTGGGTGTACCAGATAGCATCTTAACCACTGTGCCAAAAGCCCACCCTTGCAATGATTTTTAAGCACAGATTGTTGTGTTCATTTTGATTGTGTATACTTTAACATGCTTGTATTCTTTTTGATAGATTAGCCTCTTTTTTGTTAGTTTTATATGCTATTTCTAGTTTCTCAAAATAAGTTCAGAAAATTTCTCTGTATTTCAATTTTTCTGAAACAGCTTTTACATACAATTACCCCTGCCAAAAAAAATTTTGGTGTAACTCAAGTATAATAAAATCTGCCCTACATTGTGGAGGTGGTGGGAATAGTAGACAGTTCTACGTAAGTTTTCTATTTTTAATGAAGTGATTGTGGTAATTTCTATTTTTTTAGAATGCTTTCAGATGTTTTCACTTGAAATACTTTATACTTGTCTTCATTTACAATATCCTTCTGAATCCTATTCATAATGGTATTTATTGTCTTTTCCAGCATGTTCTTTATAGATCTTAGAGCTTTTTATAGTTAGTATTTTACAAGTAAAGCACATTTAACTGTTGATTTATTTTGTATTTTATCATTTCTACTCTTTTTAAAAAATTATCCTTTATTTATTTATTTATTTATTTATTTATTTGAGAGAGAGAGAGAGAGAGAGAGAGAGAAACACGAGTGAGCACTCCTTCCATCTACTGTTTCACTTCCTAAATCCTTGCAACAGCTGAGATGTGGCCAGACTGAACCTGGGAGCTGAGAACTCACACAGGGCTTTCATGTAGGTGGCGTTACTTATGTCTCCCGGGGTCACATTAGCTGTAAACAAGAGTAGGAAGTGGAGTTAGGCTTGGAACCCAGGCACTGTGGTCTGGGACATGGACATCCTAACTAGTATCTTAGGTGCAGAGTCAAACACTCAACCCGGTAATTCACCTTCAAATGATTTGGTAGTGGTGGCAAACTGCTGCTCACTCACTCATTTCTGAGAACAATGTTTAGCTTATTTATTGGAAAAGCATTTTCAATGTATGTGTTTCCCCCTAAGTACTTGTTTAATGGCATCCCATAAATGCTGTATAATATCTTAATTGTGATTCAATTTTTCATCTTTTCTCATTTCTATAATGATTTCTTAAATAATTCACTTGTACAAATCATTGGAAAATATACTTTAAATGTTTTTATTATGGAGAATAAATATTATGGAAGTGCTTTACAATGGAAAATTATGAAAAATGTAGAAAAACAGTACCAGCAATCAGTCTGAACAATTATCAAGTCCTGAGTAATCTTGTTTCAACCATATATTTACTTCATTTCCATTCTTCCCTACTGGATTATGTGGTCACCAGTGTGAACCATTATGATATTTCATCTCTGACTCTCAGGATCTCTCTCGGTCCATTTTCTGCTTCTATACCAAGACACCTGAGATTGAGTAGTTTATAATGGACAGAAACTTAACTTATTCCATAGTTCTGCAGGCTGGAAAGCCCTGGAGTATGTTGAGGGCTTTTGTTCTATCCCATCCCATGACAGAAGGCAGAAGGACAGGCGAGCTCATGAGAGAGAGAGAAAGG